TTTTTGAGGAGTGCAGAATCTGGAAAAGCGATTTTTCGTAAAAACTTATCCGGAATGGCATTAAGTAAAACATCTTCGCTTGGTATCTTTGCGTGTATAAAAAAATCTTTTACCTTACAACTAGCGAAGGTAAGCAAACGTAGATATATCGCTGTATTGCCAGGTATACAGTTAACCATATAGCAGCGGTATGGAATCTGAAATATCTCAGACATTTCCGTAGGTGAGGCTTGAAAGCGAAGGAATCCAGCCATTTTCTGACGAGGAAAAGGAAAAAAGAGAGAGTAGACTAGTTTTTCGCGGCTTCCCTTTTGCTCGTTTTTTTATTGAAGCCCACTTATCGGCAAACCAGAACATGATATGTATTTTTTGACTGAAATGCACTTAATTACGCTGGTAACGGCGCTGATTGGTGCAAACTTCCATTAACCAATCACGACGAACGAACGCCTTACTACGGCAGCTAATTCGACCATGACAGGCTGCAGGTCAACTAGCTAGGAGTCGCAACGCGTGTGGGCGAGTCGGGACTACCGCCATGCACACCTTAATCGCTGAAAATTTTCTCCAGGTCGAAATTTAATGGGTACCAGGGCTGGTCTATGTACACCTCACTTACTCTCTCAACCGCAGTACTTTACTGTAATAGTGTTATGCATGTTTGAACAAGCCGTGTGAACGGGCACTCAATGGGTTACGCAAATGCGAGAGATGATCTGAAGGCGCATTGGATGCAAGGCCTACCTTTCTTCGAGCACCAACAAGTTAGCTTTAGTAAAGCAGTAGTTGAAACTCACATTGTGGGAAGATGAACAGCGAAATAAGGATGTGTTTTGCACCAAAAATCAGGTAGACCATACTCCTGATCGACATACAAACCTCCAAATGTGTAGTAATATAGAAACCAAGGACACGACGATAGGCCTGCAACCGATGTACATTCATTACTGCATTACCTTGAGAACCAAAATGTCAGTACCAGTCATTAGCTCCGTAATTGCCATGGATAAAAGGATGTAGTTGGTGGGTGTTCGAAGATTTTTATTAGATAGTACTACAACTACAAATGAATTCGTGACCAGTGTAACAAGGATGATGGCAGGAGCAGCCAAGCCGTAGAGAGGTCGCGCCAACCATGGTGGCTGACTCTGAAATTAGAAATTTCTGTAATTGAAATTCTGAAAAAAAAAGAAACTTTATAAGTTNGACATTATACAGTGTTTTTGAATAATATGTATGCTACTGATGGAGCTACTAAGACAACTGCGCTTTCCCATGAATACAGTACCCAGAGAAGAGCAGGGATCCACCAATCACAAGGGCTACACGGCATCAAGAACTCCACCTACGAGCTCAGTTTTCACTGCCCCCTGAATATTCGTATTCGGTCATGATTTGATTTCCTAACTTTTTTGTCATCTAAAAGCATAGCGGATATTCTGCTATTATATTTTCACAAAGGAAGTATAAAACCCTCAAATTCAGGCCACAAAAAGGACTGGTTTCAATAGAGTAGGGCCCATTTCTAATTTTCGATTTTAAGCTACACAAAGACACTCAAATTTCTAGCGCCTGATATTGATCTGAGTTGTTAGGCCTTCTGAATCTTCGGAAACATCTCTATGTACTCGTTTTAAAAGACCTTAATCATACTAGTTCTAGATGTGTTTATAGAATGCATCAACGAATGAATGGCTCGCTTTGGCAGATGTCTCTTACGGGAACCGGAAAACGGATATGTTTCTTTTCGATCCAGCCAGTAGAGTGCGAAAAAAAAAACAAGATCTGACCGTCCGGTTCACTTGGCCTGCGCTTTTGACGCACAATTACATTCTGTGGACCCCGAATGTGCTTAGTAACTGTAGTAGTCAGGTACTGCAGAAGGTTGTAAGCAAGTATGCAACAGTAGAGTAGCTGATAATGAAAAAGAAAAGCATGCATACCTGTGAAATAATCACAACATGCACTAGGCGTGATGAAGCGCCTGCCGGCAAGTCCTCGCCGTTCCAAAAATCTCCCCATCCGAGGAGATTGAATAAGTCCAGCATACGACCTTACCTTAAATATAAGAAGTTACTAACAAAATGATGTAGTAACAACAGTTACGACACAAATTACGATACAAAGCAAAATGATACGACAAATAAGCGATGAGATGCAAAACAACAAAAGTAAACAATAATGGAGAGAGCAACAGCTCGACAGTAAAAGGAAACCGGAAGAGATGGATGAAGAAGCCTCGAATGGAGTAAAAAAAATGTGAAAAGTTTGAGCAGTTTCAAAAAAATAAATTGCGTGACAACAGATTGCATTCATAGGCGTTTCATTGGCTTGCTGATGAGAATGGAAATCTCGCCTGCTATTGGCGGTTAACCCTCAGCAGCCAATCACGATGCGCATACACTCGCCTAACCCTTAGTATGACTTCTACTCGTAGTTTCGAAACGCAGGTACGTTTTTTTTATTAAAAAAACTGCTGTAAGCAAAAATAGGCATTTGAGTAAACTCGAAAGTAAGAAAGTTTGAAAGGCCAAGTTCTGAATAGCGCTGGGGTCATTGTCCTGGTCGAGGATGTGTTGGAATTCTTGAGAATGTTGGAAAACGGCCTTAGGCGTGAAAAGGGAAAAAAACGTTGAATTGCTCCGAATAAAGCAATTAATTGAATTTTCCGGCGAAGAAAAAAGATTTATCACCCGTTTCAGTTCTTTTAATGAAACCACACATACAGTAAGAATGGTAAGAATCCGCTGATTCTTGATTCCGCTGATTATTTCTTGATTCGTAAATTGATTGCTACAATTACAATTATTGAATGACCGTAATCTCACAGCACGGATATGAGTCAAAGGAGAGCGAATTACAGCCAAAATTGCTATGCGAACCTTTCAAAGCCCTGCCTTTGCAGCCCTTTCTAAACAAGTTGTATCCATCTATTCATTTAAATTCATTCGAATTTTATATGGTTGTAAATTATTTCAATTGGATATTTCCCGTGAAACCTATCAAGTATGTACTTTATTACAGTAGTAGTAGGAATATGGTCGATGATGCCTAACCAGCAAATATGAGCAGCATTGAAGACCTACTCATGCAGGAAAGGTTTCATTTTTCTCGAAATTCAGTTTGAAATTGCAAAATGCTCACTTGAGACAGTTTCTGAGAATTTCGAACTTACTGCCTAGTAACTCCATGTTTCAACGAAGCCTCTTTCCTCTCTAGTCGATCAAAGGGTCCGAGTATCAGCCAACTAACCAAATGCTGCTAAGTTATTACTGTGTCGAAGAACAGTAGCTCCAGAAGATATAAAGAATCAGTTAACACAAAAAATGAGAAATAAAATGAGTCATAATAGTAGCATAATAGTGGTAACAGCAACATGAGTAAGTGACTGAAAAACTCGTCCACAAAGGCAAACCTCCGAATTGGTGAAGCCACAAATAATATGAATATTCTTCGTTGACCCGCCTCTTCGCCATTTACTGGATACTTGAGAAGATAACTTGTCTTACAAATTACTTACTTCACAAACTATAATTTAACTGCTCGGTGTCAATTAATTAGACTTTCTTTAAATTAGTACCAACTAAAATGAAGTAGTTTCGATAAAGAATTTCATATTTCAAAGAGCAGCCCCATAGCTACCACATAATATACGATCTCAAGTTCAAGTTACTGGAAACGGAATTAAGCAAAGCTACATTTTGCATGAATTCTTGTAATCGTTTGGAGCCCACGTCATATGTAGCGTGCATCTTGAAAGCAATTTGTTATGGCAAAAAAGGGAAAAAATTCGAACTCTTTGAGCTCTCGTTTTGGTTGACCTAATGACCGCCGATTGTCCAAACTGATGACATTTTCCTGGAATTCTACATAATATTAGCCAAACTTTAGGCAAAATTAGCTGGAAAACAATCAAAGGACAGCAAAAACTGTTTGTACAAAGATAGCCATTTTGTCATTAGAGAGAGTTTTTGTAGTAAATGGTAATATTAACGGTGATACAATGAATATCACAGAATACGCGCAGTATAGTTGCCGCGTGGGCTAACAACGCTCCAGTGACGATACGATGTTCGAGCACCGCCCACAAATGTTTGGATGTTTACACTAGGATTACTGCATATTGGTCTACACCCGTACTTAAGTACATCGTATTACAAGTAGTGATATCTTCCTTACTTCAACTCACTTCGAAATTACTGCGTCCGCCAGAATACGGGTAGCATCATTACCACTAATTATGCTTTCCTTATACCAACAAAGTTCAGATGCACTGCATCTATTGCCCTTCACTGCTGATTAGGACGCCAAACGTTGTCCATTCCACCTTTTTTTGAAATCCAAAGTGAAACAAAACTTCAAAATCCTGCCTACAATGCGATCTGGATATCCTTTTAGTCACTCAGATCCCATGGTACTTGCAGCCGCCGCAGTAATTTAGAGGGACTCGCTGATACTGAGTAAAACCCCAATTGAATTAACGACTCAGTTCACATATGCAATATATGATAAAAGAACGGAGTAAAGTACCAGTACACTACAGTTAGTCCATCATAATAGAGTAAATTCTTAGTCATCTCTCGATCTGTAGGGCTGGCTAGAAAAGTGCAAAGAGGTGCGCCTGCTTAGGTCACTAAGTGGAGCTTTACTGTAATTAGTGGCAAGGTGATTCACGACAAAATGGTCGCTTGCGACGTTTGCGGCGAAACTGTGCCGCTTGGCCGCGCGAAAAATTCGCAGCCTGACCAACGGCGCCCAAGTGGGGAAATCAATCGATAAATTGGACGGCCACTCTTTCCACATAGTCATCTCAATCTGAAGACGCTATGATGATCTTTTTCTTGTTAGTAAAGCATACATAAATTGGCACCAAGTCGGCTCTACAGTATGACCTTGTACATGCTAGACGAGATGAAGGCAGGGCATGATTCAGGATTTGTATATCGTTCTGCAAGTATGGAGTAGTCACGATTAGTACTCCTTACAATGAAGAATTAACTATTTAAAGATATTTTCAATATAATGAAGAAATTGTACACTGTACAACGAGTTAGAACGACGCGACGGAAAGGAATGAGAGTAGACGAAGGCAAAATTAGAGGAAGTGCAGACAAATTGTAAAAAGTCCGTGATTAAACTAATCTGCAGCACATAATCATAGACAGTGACATACTAGTAGAGTTCGCAGAAAGCAATGAAGTTATTTAGGAACATCCATAGCTCTATTGCACGTCCGTCGGCAAGGCATCGGTAAAGCTGCCCCAGTATAGCTCTTCACCTACTTCCTTTCGACTATCCCTGTAAGGAATATAGATATTCGACGGTTACCTATCCTTCCAAATGTTCCATCCTCTTTTAATTAATGAGATCCAGAAATCTATTATAGCAACGACTGCAAAGAGAGGGACCATTGAAAAAGAGAAAAAAATCTGTGGTTGCGTACAGAGAATGATTGAAGCGTCTCGAGTATCGCCGGAATGTTTTGGGTAAGAATACACAGCTAATGAGCCCCGTTCATAAAGAAGCTTGTCAACTTTCTTTATGGAGGTTGAAGAAAAGTCAAGTATCAAAACTTGATAGAATAGTACTTCTTCTGCCTCCTTGGCAGCACAAAAAAGTACATGTAGCCTTTAATTGTAAAAAGTAAAAAGCAGTAGGCTCC